CTAAATTAGCCCATGAACCAGACAGGCAGGGGTCGCATGAAAATATTCTAACTCCGCCTCAACCTATCTCCCCATATATAGCAGTTGGACTGTGTGTATGCACTGGATCTGACCTGCACTGCACTCACGACGGGGACAAGCTCTAAATCTTTGATACGACATTCGATATCCGTGACACGAACCTGGCTCATCGGGCCAATTGAGACCATCTCCAGCCCCATCTGGACCATTCTCGAGCTCTTCTAAAAATCATGTCCGAGGCCATCTTGCTGTCCAGACCGTTATTATTCTAAGAGAAGAAGAAAAGATGAATCGGCAACAGGCGGCCGAGAAGGCTTTACACGACCAGACCAATATCCTCCCCATTGGGCAACTGCTGGTTGTCTTCTCTGGCCTGGCAGTCTCCCTGCTCATTACTTTTGTTGATCAAAATGGCATCAGCGTTACGCTTCCTACGATAGCCCGCGACCTCAATGCCCAGGATACGATCTCCTGGGCAGGAACTTCGTCTTTAATCGCGAATACCATGTTCACAGTGCTATACGGTCGACTTTCTGATATATTCGGTCGAAAGATTGTCTATCTCTGTGCGTTAGCACTTCTCTGTGTCGCTGACTTGCTTTGCGGTCTTTCCCAAAATGCCCCCATGTTCTACGTTTTTCGAGGGTTGGCTGGCGTTGCAGGTGGCGGCGTCACGTCGCTGACCATGATCATCGTCTCGGATATCGTCACCCTCAGGGAGCGAGGCAAGTATCAGGGCATTCTGGGAGCAGCTTTGGGTCTTGGGAACGTCATTGGCCCGTTCGTCGCTGCAGCTTTTGTCATGGACTCGACCTGGCGAGGATTCTTTTGGCTCTTATCTCCACTGGCGGCGTGTTGCATCATCGTCGGATATATTCTCATCCCCAACAATTCCCGGAAGGATAGTTTCCGGAAAAATGTCCGCAAGATTGACTTCTGGGGCGTTCTCGCCTCGTCAATCGGCATCATTTTCTTATTGATCCCCATCTCTGGAGGTGGGTCCTATTTCAACTGGGACTCGCCTATGGTTATCAGCATGCTCACTATCGGAGGCTGCGCCCTCCTCGCCTTTATTGTGATTGAATGGAAAGTGGCGGTGCTGCCTATGCTTCCCGGTATGTCCCAGTAGCCATCCTACAGATATTGGATACTAACGACTGCAGTGGTGTTCTTCAAGAACAAGGTGCTCTGTGCTCTGTTCTTGCAGAGTTTCCTTCTTGGTGCTGTGTATCAGTCTTACCTATACTACTTGCCTTTGTATTACCAAAACGCTCGCGGATGGTCTCCAATTGTGTCTGCTGCGTTGACTGCACCCATGGTAGCTTGCCAGTCACTTGCCTCGATCACCTCCGGACAGTACATCTCACGCATGAAGCGTTATGGAGAGGTGATCTGGGCTGGCTTTTTCATGTGGACATTGTAAGTAACTAGTCTGTTCCCTCCTTTGCCAACTTGACCGTGCATTCTGACCCGGTCCCAGGGGTGCTGGTTTGATGCTACTATTTGATCAGCATACTAGCCCAGGTGCTATTGCTGTTATTGTCGGCATTGCTGGCATTGGCGTCGGCTGGACCTTCCAGCCGACCATGATCGCTTTCCAAGCCCATGCTACTAAATCACAACGAGCCGTTGTGATTTCAGACCGGAACTTCTTCCGTTGTATCGGGGGTGCCTGTGGCTTGGCGGTCTCCGCAGCCCTACTCCAGGCCACCCTACGATCCAACCTCCCAGCCGGGTATAAGGACGTTGCGGAATCATCGTACACGCTTCCGTCCCGGAACGGTATCTCAGATTCCGATTGGGAGCAGATTTTGGCAGCTTACGTGAAGGCATCCCACTCTGTGTTCATCTTGCAGGTTCCACTAATCGGAACGTGCCTTCTTGCGTGCCTGTTCCTTCGGGACCGAGGTTTGGAGCGGCCGAAGGATCCGCATGAGATAGAGGAGGAGAAGAGACAAGAAGAGGAAAAGCGCAGACAGGAGGAAGCCCAAGAGCAGGAAGAGCAACGGGTGGCTGGTCAGGATGTGGAGGCTCAGGTTCCGCCCTCACCTGAGTCAGTTGAGGACGGTCATTCTATCACATATCCTGTTGATGTCGAAAAGAAGGAACGAGAACAATAGGGGCCAAGGGACGAAAGAGGGTATCGCGTTGTGGCGCTTAGTTGAGAGGGTTTAGATTTAATTATCAGATCCGTACAATACAGATGGAATGAAAGACAGACATAGAATAGAAATGAGCAAGAATGCTTAGCGGCGGAAAGAACCGCGACGCGACGTCTTGGCAGACTTCGGAGGGCCGACGCCATTTTGTCTCGATTCATCTCAATTCACCCCACTTCTCCGACAACCACTCCGTCCCTCCGACACCAACTGTACGACGCCAGTCTAAGAATACTCATACATCGTCGTGGTGGTGGTGGCAACAATGACACAATGAGTGGTATGGAGACTGAGGGAGTCTCCCCCCACACAAGAGCGTCTTCTCCCTCTCGGGATTATAATCCTCGGAAGCGGGGGAGGACCGCTTGCACTCGCTGCAAAACGAGGAAGCAGAAAGTCAGTCACTGCAGTATGATACTGGTCAGCTCTTATCAAGAAGAGTCACGTTGACCATGCCACACAGTGCGACAATAACTATCCCGTATGCTCCAACTGCCACAAAGCCGGAGCAAACTGCGACAAGGCTTCCGTGCGAAATGATAACGGATCTCAGAATGAGTATAAGCCGGATAGCCATGCTTCGCTGCGTATATGCTGATGATCTACTTACAGATATACGCGGGCTTTGGAGAGCCGGATACACTATCTGGAGTCGCAGTTAGATTCAAGACCCAAGGACAGCCGGGCCAGCAGCCACGTTGCTCATCCGGTCGCGGCACTCCTCTCTCCTCAGAATCCCCCGACACCGGCTGGGTCGACCACCGAACTTGACCGGAATGCTGTCGGGGAGATAGTGGGCTTTCTCGCCCTCAACTCGTCGGAAGCCCCAGCGTATGTGGGATCCAGCTCCGGGCTGTCTCTGGCCGCAGACCTCGGAGAAATGGTCCAAGCCACCGTCTGGAACCAAGCTCTATCATCCTCGCGGAACCCGCCCGGGACACGAGCCGGGCAGCTGCCTAGTCACAATATCACAGGACTTCCGCCGCAGCCGTCTACGGGAGACAAGAGCTCAGAAGAGCGGGCGCGACCGTTGCGCATGGAGGAGTTGTTGTCGAAGACCACGGACCCTCCGAACGATGAATTGGGGTCGCGGATTCTGCGCGCCTATCTGACGAGACTACACGTGCGGTATCCCTTTCTTGATCGGACTGAGCTATGGCGCTTGCACGAAGACCGCTGGCGGTTGGCCAAGACTCCGCGCGAAGAGCTTACCAGGGCGGAGCGATTCGGGATCTTCAAATTGTATCTCGTATATGCAATTGGAGCAACGACTATACAGCTGAGTGAGAATCTGGCTACAATTCTTCCCGAGGTGAGTTGGCCCTGTTGGGGTCTGATGTATCAGTCTAACCTCCTTAGCAGCAATTCTATACAACTGCACTACAGACTGTCCCCAGAATGTGTGAGCCACGGTCGGTGGAGAACATCGAAGCCATGACTTTGATGGTGGTTTACCATCTTCGATCTGCGTCCAGTCAGGGCATGTGGTACATGGTCGGGCTTGCGATGCGGACCGCCATCGACCTGGGTTTGCACCGAAAGGCAAATGAAAACAACCTGGATCCGTTCACCGCGCAGATGCGACGCCGTCTGTTTTGGACAGTCTACTACCTCGAGCGTGTGGTGTCGATGTCACTGGGCCGACCCTTTAGCATTGCGGACCGACACATCGACCTGCCTTTACCACTCGATGTCGACGACGATGTGCACGATCCGGCTGTGCTGACTGCATCCCCGCCGATGGACAGAATCACAAGCCTCACATTTGCCATCTACCTCATGAAACTCCGTCGGATTGACTCGAGAATCCAACATAAGATCTACCGAGCCGATCGCCCGCTGCACACTCTGCGCTCCAAGATGGACCGTCTATATCTGGAACTGGAGGAATGGAAGCAGTCCGCGACGCGCCGTTTCAGTGGATCCGACCTCGACTACCCGATGCTACACTACCACCGGGCTCTACGGCTGTTGATCCAGCCTTTCCTGCCCTCCCTGCCCCTCACAGACCCCTACTACCACATCTGTCTGCGAGCCGCCGGAAACACCTGCCAGACGCACAAGCGACTTCACCAGACCCTGGAATACGGCCACTCCTTCCTGGCGGTGCAAACCGTCTTTATGGCCGGAATCACTCTGCTCTACGCCCTCTGGACCCACACCAGCGACGTCTGGTCCGTGCAGCTCAGCAACGACATCCGGGCTTGCTCCACCGTGCTCTTCGTCATGGGCGAGCGCGCCAAGTGGGTGAAGAAGTACCGGGACGCCTTCGAGCTGCTCGTCAACGCGGCCATGGAGAAGCTTGAAGGCACCGATGCCTCCAAGAAGGTGGGCATGGCCGAGCTGATGACGGCCCAGCACATCGGCGGCGGCGGGATCAACGCTGGCATGTTCCGCGACAATCACCCCAGCACCTCGCGACCCACGGAAGGAGGGACGCCAGCGGCGGCGGCGGCGCAGCAGCAGCAGCCCGCTGCCAATCCCGCTGTCTCCGTTGACCCGACCAGCCAGGACCACGGCGTGCGCATGGCGTTGCAGCTCGCCCCCTGGATTGACCTGGAGGAGGACAGCCCGTTCTGGATGCCAGATTTCGAGACTCTGGAGGGGCTGTCGGGGGATTTATGGAGTAGCGGAGAGTTTGCGCCATTTGCGCCGGTTGATCCGCTTTTTGGGGTGATGACGGGGCCAGACGTGTGATCTTTTACTCGAAGGTGTCGAGTCTCTGGACAGGAAAGCTCGCCTCGTAGCTATAGCATGCCCGTAGCCTTGCAGCATGCAGTTGCAATTTTGCACCTTAATTGTACGAAGGACTGTGCGTCTCGGGATATGTTCTATTGGATTGTCTATCTAGCGCACCGCCCGAATGAAGAGTAGAGCATGTGGTTGGTAACTTCATCCATGCGAGCAACTTTGCACAAATCATCTTGGACCGAAATATATTATAACTCATCCTTCACAGCACGAGGCTGAGACACGGGACGACCGCTGTCCTGATCGAGCGCGACGCCGTTCTTCTTGCGCCACTTCTCCCACAGGGCAAAGAAGTCCTTCTCCATGCCGCTCTCCATCTCATCCGGCAGGATGACGGTGTACTCAATATACAAATCGCCGGGGCTCTCGTCCTCGTCGTCGGACTCATGCAGATGGCCCTCGGAGTAGAAGGGCATGCCCTCGCTCTTGACGGTCTCCACAGCCAGGGGCTGCACGACCTGGCCCCGTGTCCGGCCCACCTGCACAACATGGCCATCCAAATGGGTGATATTCCGGGTCCACTCGCCCATCCAGGCCTCGCGCAGCGACAGCGCCTCCTTCCAGAACAGATCCCTGCCCTTCCGGCGGAAGAAGGTGCCATCGGTGCCCTCCGCCACCAGCTCGGGCTCGCGCTCCTCGAGAATCAGCACCAAATCGCCCGCAATCCAATCCGGACTCTCATCCGCCTCATTCTCAAACACAATCCGCGTCCCCTTGCCCATCCCCGGCTCGATCGTCGCAAACGTCTCCACCTCCTTCCTCACGACCCGCTGGCCCTGACACACGGGACACGGCCGCTTCACCATCTTCCCCTGGCCCCCACACTTGTCACAATGCATCTGCACCTGCTGAAACATGCCGGGGGCCAGCTGATGCTTCTGGATCACCACCCCGCGGCCCGCGCACTTGTCGCACGTCACCACCTCGCGATCCGCCGACCCGGTCCCCTCGCATGCGTCGCAGATCTGCTGCTTCTCCACCCCGAACGACACCTCCCGCCCGTTGTAGAAATCGCGCAGCGGCAACCCGACCTTCAGCTCCATGTCCGGCCCCCGGCGGTGGCCCGGCGCGTGCCCGAAATGGCCCCCGCCCCCGAAGAACCGCGAGAACAGGTCGAAGGGGTCGTTGCCCCCGCGCCGACCGCCCCCGGCGCTCCCGCCTTGTCGGTGCTGCTCGATCCCGTCGTGCCCGTATTGGTCGTAGATCTTGCGCGTGGTCGGCGTCGATAGGATGTCGTAGGCTTCGGCGATGAGCACGAATTTCTCGCGCGCGGTGTCGTCGCCTCTTTTTCTCGGGGAGGGTGTACAGTGATTAGTTCATGTGGTGGTGGTGGTGGTGGAGGAGGTGGAGGTGGTGGAGAGCTCAGCTCCAAGGGAGGGGAAGGTACACAAAACTCACGGGTTCTTATCCGGATGGAACTTCTTGCTTAAGGTCCGGTAGGCGCGTTTGATGTCCTTCTCCGAGGCGGATTTGTCCAGCCCCAGAGTCTTGTAGTAGTCGTCGGCTGCGAGGGCGAGTTGCACCAGACAGAGGGTGAGGGCCACCAGGACGAAGAGGGTGCGCATTGTGGGGAGCATGATTGATGGTGGATGCTTCTTCCTTCGTCGTTTCAGTCTTTGTTAGGAACGGTGTGTCGCATGTGTCTTTCTGGTGGTCGTGATTGTTCTGACAGCCGGAAGTGGGTGTGTGAGAGTATGTATGGTACGTATGTGGTCTGTTGGTTTGCTAAGCGGTTTGCGATAGCCCACGGCCAAAACTGCGAAGTATAGCAGTCGGGATTTACCTCGCAACTTGTGCGAACGTGGACGGAATAAAGTGACAAAAGAAGGTCTAAAGTAAATGCCACGAGGGCAATTGACGGGTCCCTCAAGATCAGTCAAGATCTCAAGCAGCGAGACACAGGGGGGAGAGGGAGAGGGAGTGGGTTGTTAGTTTCCTGCCAGACTGGCTGTTTTGCAGTGCTGTTATCAGTTGCTTCTCTACTGATTAGGTGGCCGCAACGCGCCCCCGGGCCAATTGTTCGGCCGATGGCCGGGTCACGTGGACGTAACTACTGCTCATGCGCATACTGTTCAATGTCCATTATTACTAGAATAAATGGAGGCAGTTCACAATTCGTTAACGCAAAGTACAAAATGCAAAACTCATCGCTACCAACTAACCAAAACGCCTAACGGACCGGTGGCTATACATTATGGCATTCTCCCCTTGCACAATCTCATAGTTATCCCATCAAGGCAAAACATTACTCAGCACCTCATCCAAAACCTAAGCCCGACGAACGGGCACGTCGAAGATCTCGTTTCTCCAGGTTCCCGCCAGAGTGCGATACTCATCGCCCTCTTCGATAGCCTCCTCCGCCCGTAGCGCCTGCTCGTTCCACACCTTGACCAGACTGCCGGGGGCGTACACTCCCCGGAACACACCCTCACCCGGCGGCTCCAGTCCAATCCGCGCTTCAACGTCGGTCTCCGGCAGCGCCTTCAAGCGAGCCAGCACCGCCCGCACGAAGCTGGCCAGATCCTGCGGGTTGGCGATCCGGGCCGCCCGCAGCCGTTCGCGGGCGAACACCAGCTCCCGGTTCAGGGCAAACGCCGCCTGCACGATCTTCTCCGCGATTTTCTTCTCGAGCACTCGACGCACAAGGTGCTTGAGGAAGGGCTTGGTCAGCCAGAGCAGCCACTTCCACCGGCTGCGATGCACCTTGTAGTCGAGCTTGTGGATCCGAACGCGGACCCCGCGCAGGGTGAAGATCTGTTCCAGCCTGTCTCGGCCGACTTCGATGTCGAGTGAGATGTCAACCCCGCGCCTGTCCAGGAAGAAGCTGGCGACACCTTCATCGTTGAACCGCAGGAAGGGCCCAGAATGGGTCCGGATCCAGTACCCGAACTCAGACGCGCTGATATTCAATCCGTTGATGGTCGTCGTGAATGTGGTTTTGATGTCGGTGGCGGTCCGTTTGGAGTGCTTCTTCACGATATCAATATCGTTGCGTGTGGTCATGTGCATCCGATAGGGAAGAAAGGACGAGTAGTTAACCGTATGGCCCGGCTCAAGGATCAAGCTCTCCAGCAGCAAGTCAACCTCGGGCGCGGAGATCTCCAGGCGAGGGATTGGAATGAATTGCACCGTACGAAGAACCAGGGGCAGGAAACATTCGAGCAAGTCTGCCGGCAGCTGGCTCTCGCGGCTATGATAGGCCTCCCAAATATCCTTGTACAGCTTCTGGGTTGCATTGGTTAGATTGGACACTGCTTTGTCGCTGGGCACCGTCCGCAGAGCTCGCTTGGCCTGGACCAGAAAAGCATCGACGTCCTGCCTGAACCGCGATTCAGTCTTGACCTCCTTAGACTTTTCCTTGAGCTCATCGAATTTCTCCTCCGCATTGTCAAAGAAGTTAGGATCAGTCAGCATCTCCTGGACGACGGAGCCGGTTTCCGAGAGGAACTTCTCAAACTCAGGGTCGGAGTTTGCATGCTGCAACACCGTCTCAAAGCGCTTCTCCAGGGCCTTCCATTCTTCGGCATCACCGAACGATTGCAACAAGATCCAAAAGTGCTGCATCGCCTGCTTGAGGTCTGCATTGACGTCGACATCTTCTTCCGCCGCCGTCACTACATCCGACGCAGCGTTCACGTAGGCTTGAGCATACCGACGAACCAGCTGGCCCAGGGTTGAGATCGAGTCCGAGTAGTCCGTACGATCCTTGAGCTTGAGGACGGTCCGCTTCAGTCGGTATAGCAGAGCCTCTTTCTCACGGCCGGCTAGGTGCTCCTTTGCACTACTGACCGCATCTTTGCCGGTGCGAGCCAGGCCATTCCCGGCAATCTCAGCCACCTCAGTCGCTTCGTGTCGCAGGTCCTCACCCGTGGGAGTATGGCCTTCATCTGCACCTGCACCCTGCACCGCTTTGGCCTCCTCCTCGGACGGTTTCAGCTGCTCGCCAATCTGCTGAGATGTGCTGGACAAGGAATAGGCCGTGTCGGAAAAGATCTGCCGTCCAACAGTGGTCAAATCATCCACGAAGAGACGGAAATCGGAGTTGGTCAGCAGGAGGCTTCCCACGGTACGTAGACTGTCGTATGCTGCGGCCGTAGAGTTAGCTCCCATCTTGACTCTACGGAAAGCGTCCATGGCGTAGAAAAAGAAAAAAAAGTGAGATGTGTACTGACCTGCTTTGGTATCGGCTCGCGCCCTGCTCTGGCGGGCCTGCTGCTGGATCTTGTTAGGGTCAATCGAGGCGCGAGATCGCGCCAGACGCCAGAGAAATTCCTGCAGCTTGTCATCCTCGTTCTTCTCCTTCAGGAATTCGATGAAGACCTGAATCCACAGGCGACAATCGCGGATGATCTGACGACCCACGGAGCCCACATCGTGAGTCTGGGCGGAGAGCACATCCGAAGCCAGCAGGGTGCGGAGATTGACGATCACCTGTTCCGTAGAAGGCAGGTAACCATCCGAGAGTGCCCGGATCATCTGGTAGGTGTGTAATTTCTGATGCAGGCGACGCTGGAGGGTCGTGTCCTCCTCATAGCGAGGGAGGAGGGGCTCGGTCTCCCCTTGCGGCATGGTTGCGATGAATTCAGCAAACACGAAGAGTAGATCGACTTGCTTGTAGAGAGGGAAAGAGGGAGGTGGGGAGATGGATGTTCGATACCACCGCAGAGTCCCTGATTCAAGGGATGATGAAACGGAGGGAATTGTAGGAAAAGAGGGGAAGCGATGGCAGCAGCTCCAGGGTTGGCTGATTCCTGTTGCATGGAATCATTCATCATCGATCACGGGCTGGTGGTGGTCCAATCACTCTTGCGTCACCGCTCCCTTTGCTCGCCGCTTTATCAGTAGCCCACGTGACCTGTCAGGCGGTATCTTATCTCTCTTATCGATAAGGCGGTTTTCTGGGGTGGTTCATCTCAAATCCTTGATCGGAAGAGTTAATCCCATGGTTCTTGACAGCCCTGAAGGTCAGTATCATGGCACAATCCATTCATCTCAACAGTCAACTGACTGAGAGATACCCTGCAACGGCCACCCCGCTTGGTTGTGGTCGAGCTACCATCCCCGTCCGAGAAATTCACCCTGAACACCACTGCGAGTTTGTTCCCATTTGCCTAAAGTATAAACACAGACTGAACTCGAGACAACACGACAGAGAGCACATCACGTAAACAAGCAAAGGAAACCCCTGCCGTCACTTGTCCGCAAGCCAGGAAATAAATCCCTCTCTGTCACAGAAGTTTACAGGGTACGAGAGAGCCACCCGAGGAAAGATCAGTAGGGAAACCATGGAATGACGGGGTCCTGTCCGTGCAGCGCTGCAAGGCAGATCGTCAGGTGTACTCCGTACAGTGCTGTACGCAGCACCGCATACAGGGTAGGGGTTCAAGGTGACAGCCACCACAACCAAGCTGTACACCTCCGTCTTCGCGTCGCGCATACCAGAGGCCGATCAGAAAACAATGACAACAACGCAATGAGCGATTTATTTTTCACTGAGGTGGGAGAGTGGGCGAGCAGTTTGTTTAATTAGCTACCTTACGAGCTGCCGCATGCTTGCAGATTCCCTGGCTGGTTCCACAAAACAAGCCGAAGAGTGATGATGGACAGACAGGTTACCAGTCGGGAATCCGTGATGCAAATCGAATCTTGCTGAGTTACTGGGTTCCTGAAAGACCTCTCATATGAGGTATATATTGGAACCGCACGAAGGGATTTTCCTCCCATGAGAAATCCAATACAGGGCGAAGAAACGAATGATCAGCAGTGATCAAGCTTTGTGACCCATGCATCTTGAATCCGGGGGAGGGAAAAGGCGAAGGAAGGGGAGACGACGACGACCTGCTCAAGTGGGTAAACCCGGTTGCGGTAGGGATAGCTATCTGCAACATGGCGTGGAGAGGGAACCTAGGGATGTGCTTTGTCCATCTCGCCTACACATTCAGCCTGAAGTTTGAGCCTTGAAAAGTGAGGGGACTAGGTGATTTTCCACCCCGAGCGTTGGGAATGAAGGTCGACGGAGTAACCCGTTGCCCACTCACTAGCTCCTGAATAACTTCGCCCTACACTGAGCTTCCCATAGAAAAGAGACCAGGGTTTTAGATCTGCAGGCGTCTCCATCGGCTAAGCCGCCAATAGCTCGAGCAGGGTAGGCGGTGACGAGAGCAAATGCCGCGCGAAGCTGGGTTGAACTTTTTGATCCATGATGGGATCCTGATGGAGTCGATGGAGTCGATGGACCGTCGCACAACCCGAATCTTTATCGTCGCCCAAGACGCAATCTCCTTCAGATTTATAATAAGAACGAGGCTCGACCTGGACTGTGGCTACTGCCTGCCATCAACAATGAATTCCATCGGAAGCAGCACGGTTCAAGCGTGTTAAGATTAATTCTAGTGCGATTATAGTATGATTATAGTGTGAAAGGACTCAAAGGAGGGACTTTTGCAGGACCGAGTCAAGTCTAACTGGTGTAGGCCAAGCCATCCGAGCCGAAAATGGCCACATCTCACCCGAGACTTTGCTATTTTGGAGACGGGCTGACTCAGCTGCTGGCTGCTTACTGCATCGGATAGTTCCATCGGTCGGGACCGATCGGCGCGGCAAAACAACTGAGTCTGCGGCTGGAGAATGCCATTGGACAGCCCATGTGTGGAATTTGGAGTATTACTCATTATATTTGGTCATTACTCAGTATAGTTGGAGAAGAATTTGGGGGAGGGGGGGAGGGGGGCAACACGCAAACACACAAATTTATTCGCGCATTCTGATCGTCGATATTGATGCGTTCCCCTTGTTCGTGTGCCCAATTGTAAAGCCTGCATGCAGAATTGGGATGTGCCAGTAGACAACTCCGTACGAGTTACATACCTATTGTCTGCAGTTCCTGATGACAGGTCTTTTAGTGGAAGTTTGACTGCCGAGCTGTTGTGCTCATTTTGTGTGG